ACCAGAGCAGAGATGTTCAGCTGTTCCGTCCATTACAGGAGAATGAAGGATAAATATGCTGCAGGGCGTGGTTAGCTAGAACGACCCCTGTACGGAGACCTTAATCCTCTAGGCGGGTGACCCGGGTTCGAATCCGGGTTCAATCCTTTGCTGCATGTCTCTCATGCCTCATTAAAAACAAAGGAAGATGGCAGCTGCTCTGAAAGCATCTTTGCAGACAATTTAGAACAAAGATGGTGATTAAAGCTCAGCACTGAGGAGAAAGGAGGTCCTGGAACCTTTGCCATTATCATCAGGTAATTTAACTCTGCACAGGATAAATGGGGGGGGGGGAGCACTCTAGATTACCAACATCTCGGTATAATCAGATATCTTCTGGTGATTCAACCTTCCTCTCCGTGCTCAGTGGGAGCCCTCTGCAGAGGTGAAAAAAACACATTTTCACTCCTCTCTCCAAAAGAAAAGTTTTATGTCTGTAAGCTATGTAGGCAGATTCTTTAGTATTATACTAATTTTTAGTGCATTTAAAAATTATTAACATACTTATCTTTAATTTAGTTTCTTTTTTAAATGGATTGCGTTCATTTATTTTATTATGGAGAAGAGGACTTTGAACTAATTTTCCAGTATGTGATTTCTAATAATCTTTCAATCTATTAGAAATCTGTTTTTTAATTTTGTTTTTTAAATTTAAACTGCGGCGACAAAAGGTTCATCTCATCGTCTCTAAAAAGAAAAGGTTTATTTTGATCCTCCTGCTGACCTCCAGGAACCTGGATGCCAGAAGTCGACCTTTCCTGACCTTCTAACGGGGCGTTGAGGCTGGAAGGCTGCTTCCTTCCTCCAGGTGGTTCTTCACACTTCCAACAATCGCTGCCCTCAGAAAAAATCAATCGTTGGAAAATCCTGCCGTGAAAACGCCAATTTTAGTGGGAAAAATGATTCATCTTTTCACCCCAATCAAATAAATGGAGATCAATGGATTTCACTCAGTCGGTATTTTATTTTTATTTCACTGCAAAGAGAGAACAGCTCTTCTCACGGTAATCAGTTCTGATCCAGCAGCGTTCGTTCCTCCTTACTGACAATCATGGAAAACAGAGTTAAAACTAATTAGAGACACTTTGGTTAAACAGTAACATGAATAAACCTGAGAAAGAATCTGGTTTGTTATGAAAGAATCTACATCTGATCTACAAAAACCATCCTGCAGGGAATGCTGTGACCTTCAACAGAAACAGACTGAGTGAAAACTTTAATAGTGAGTAAATAAGATAAATTAATATATAATAGAAGAGAAATCAACATTTTTTGGACCGCAGTCCCTGAGGAGCAGAAAGGCCTGGAGAATAACCTAGATGTTGAAGGAGAGTTCTAGGTTCTAAGTTCTAGGTGGTTGTTGGGAAGTGATCCTGTTAGATAATGACGTGTTTTCTTCTGTTCTGCTGAACAATAGAGATCAGATCTTTTCTATCGTGGTTGAAGGAGCCGTGAGGCTGCAGCAGCGCCGCTGTGTTTGCAGTAACCACACAGGAGTCGGGTTTCTCTGCAGCAGCAGCAGGTTTCTGGTGGGATCAGGGCAGCAGGTTGGTCCCCAGAATAATCTGCTTTCAGTCTGATCTGCTCCTCACCTGCTCAGACATGATCTGGATGCTTCTTATCGGATTCCTCTGGTTATCCTAAAATCAGGAGCATCACTTCCTGTCAGAGCGGCCATTGGCTCAGAGTCATATTTCACTGGAACGAAACGAACTAACCTGCCTGTCAGGATTCCTGTTTATCCAGGAAACAATCATTTCCAGGTGGGCTGTAGGATCCTTCCCACTGACCAATGTGCTGCCAGAGTTCAGAGGATGCTGAGCTCTGATTGGCCGGGAGCTGTGCTGCAGCAGGTGGGTGTTCCTGCAGCAGCTGAGTCTGGTCAAGACCAGAGGAGCAGAAGGAGCCCAGAGTTCTGGTTCAGGTAAGTCTAGAGGGTCCGTCTCTCCAACTGGTCCAACTTTGGTTCCTTGTTCAGAACTTCAGGGTTCTGGTTCTGTTTGCAGGACTTTGTTGATGGTTGAAGAGACTCTGAGCTGAAGTTCATCTGGGTCATGGATCCTGATTCCTCCTCTTCTGTAAGTACCACCTGAACGGGTCCTGGACCTGAACTGGTCCTGGACCTGAACGGGTCCTGGTTCTAACATGAAGGGAACCTTATCTGCATGTCCCCTGCGGTTGCAGGACATGTGGTGGGGGACTCTCGGTACCGTCCGGCCGTTCTCCAACTTCCATCCTGAGAGAGATGTGCAGGAGATCCAGGCGGCGCTGGAGAGGAAAGGTACGGGCCGGGTTCACTCAGCGACCCGCTCAGAACCGACGCTCTAATCTTTGTGGACTTTGTTCAGACGCGGTGACGCTGGTGAGGATTCTGACCAATCGCAGCAACGCCCAGAGACAAGTCATCGCCCAGAGCTTTGAGGAGCAAACAAAGCAGGTGAGGAAGGAGCCTCCCTGTGACTCAACATGTGACCCTGGGTCTCTGCTGCACTTTGATCCTCTGAACTTTGTTTGCTCTCCAAACATTGAGGAGGACACACCTTAGTGTTCAGAAGGAGAAGCTCTGGAGCTCCTGGGATGTCTGACTGCTTCCTGCCGCATTCCTTCATCCTAACATCTGATCTTCTCTCTCGTCACGTTCTGGCTCCTCCCTGCAGGGATCAGGGGGCAGGCTGACAAGCTGAGGACAGATCTAAGATGGGGGCAGGTCCAGGATCAGGCCTGACGCCATCCTCAGGTCTGCCCCCCCATCCAGCAGCTTGGAGAACCCGCTTTAGAACCTCCTTTATTTCTAGGTTTCCACTCAGACTGCAGAGCAGCTGCTGCAGAGTGAGCTTAGTTCCCCCTCAGTGCTTCCTTTAGGAAGGAGGAGGCTCCTGATGGAGAACCTTCCTTTCACCGTTGGGGAGCTCCAGGTGTGGGACTGGGATCATCTCCAGATGTTTGATCAGTCGCTCTGCTCTGTGTTGAAGGACCTGAGTGCAGCTCTGAAGAAGGCTCTATCTGGAGACCTGGAGGACCTTCTGCTGCAGCTGATGATGCTCCCGGACCAGCTGGAGGCCCACCGGCTGAAGGATGCCATGGCGGTGAGCCTCTGGCTCTGTTTGGGTTTGTTCCTGGGGGGGGTTAGGACCCGCTTCTGATGCCTCCAGGTGTCTGCAGGGTTTGGGCACCGATGAGGAAACGCTGCTGGAGATTCTGTGCACCCGCTCTGGAAGGAGGCTGCAGGAGGTCAGCGCCGTCTACAAACGCCGTGAGTCTCTGAGCCGCCTGCTGTCAGCGAGACGCTTCCTTCCCGACTGTCGGCTCTCATGTTGGATTCTCTGTTTTTTCAGTTTATAAGAAGGATCTGGAGAAGGAGCTGAAAGCAGAGACCAGCGGAGACTTTGCTAAACTGGTTGTGGCGTTGCTGAATGTAAAGCAACTTCTTCTTCCTCCTTTAAGTTGATAAAAAATGCAGATAAAAAGCAGGAAGTTCTTCACCTTGTTGATTTGTGGACAAATGAGAAATATCTTCTAAACCTTCCAGAGAAACATTTCCAAAAAAGTTTTTTAAAAAAAACAATCCACTGGACTTTGTTTCCTAGTTTGAAGACGTTTCTCTTCCATCCAGGAAGATTTTTTTATTCTAATTGCTCCAAAACTACAAAAAGCTTCGTCAATGGAAAGTAAAACGTCTTCCAACATTGTCCAGCGGTTGTTTTTGAACTTTTTTGGAATTACCTGGATGACTGAGAATCTTCACCAGCTTCCTGGTTAACGTTCTCCAGAACTTAAAGCCAAACCTGGAACCTCCAACCTGAACATGTGTCCATTTACCTGTGAGTCCTGACTTCAGAAAATTAGATCCTTTTCCTGTTTTGTCCCAACAGAAGGGTGTTTCTACAGGAGGCGTTCAGAGAGACGTTCAGGTATTCAGCCTCTTCCTGCTCTTCACGCAGTCAGCATCATGTCTAACCTCTGAGTGAGGCAGAACCGGGCCACCAGAACCCAGCTGGACCCGCCGGACCTCAGAGGAAAACATGCTTCCTAGATAAAAGCACAAACTGACCTCAGATCTGCTCTGGTTGGATGTTTCAAGGCTCTCGCTGCATCTCTGAGTGGGAAAAAAGCTGAAGCAGGTCCTTGGATCAACATCCTGACATCCAGAGACTCTGGTCACCTGAAGAAAGGTGAGTCTGTGACACGCTGAGGTCTGACGGTGGGTGACTGTGCTGACTGTGAGCGTCTGGCAGTGCTGATGGAGCTGGAACTGGAGACCGGCCAGATGGTGGATCAGACGGTGGAGAAACGCTTCTCGGGGGACTTTAGACTCGGTCTGCGGGTTCTGGGTGAGAACGGATCCAGGTTCAGTGTTTGTGGCTTTGGAGCAGCTCCTCATGGTTCTGTTTGTGTGTGAACAGTTCAGTGCATCCAGAACCCGGAGGTCTACCTCGCCCAGAGGCTGGTCACCATGAAGGTGAGAGCAGCTGACCTCCATGTTGGAAAGCATTTGGTTCCAGGTGCAGCACATTGATGGGGATTTATTAGGAGCTGCTGCTTCTAGAGCCGCCACCAGAGGGCAGCACTGACCTGCAGTAGATATTCTGGCTCCTCTCAGATCCAGACATGAATCTCTCCTTCTGGGAGTTTTAACCTGCAGGAGTTCTGCTGCAGAAAGGAAAATATCTGTTAAATGTGTTGACATGAGCAGACTGAACCTCTAGGGGGCGCCATTATATGATTATACTTCTGCCCACCGTGCCTGAGGTGAAGATGCTCTGCAGGAAGCAGGTTTCCTGGCTGTAGATCTGAGATAATCAACAGCTGAAATATTTTCACTTTCACTCCTGATTTATGCTTCAGATGTTTAAAGGTTTGTTCCAATCAATAAATGTAGAAATACTTTGAATAGAAGCAATAAACATGGTGAGAACCGGCTTGGAGCAGATCTGTCTCCTGAGATGATGGTCAGGCTGTGCAGGTGATGACGTGTTGATGAATGGTGTCTCTCTGCAGACCTCATTGGTTCACGGCATCATGGTGTCCCACAGTGAGGAGGACCTGCTGGCCATCAGAGCCGCCTTCCTCAGACTCAGCGGATCTTCTCTGTTCTCTGCTCTGCAGGTCAGACTCATTTTCTCATTCTGGTCCCGCTGACCTCATGCTTCAGTTACTGACATGTTTGTCCTTTGATTGTCTCTCAGAACCATTTTAAAGGACAACATCTGCAGGCTCTGCAGGCCGTCTGTCGGTCTGAAGACTGATCTGAATCTGCTGGAACCAGGAACCAGTTTATTCACATTTTACAGCCAGTTTCTGACTCTTATCTGTAACTTCTATGTTTAGTTTCTGCTGCGTAACACCAGGATCCTACATGAAGCCGGATCACATTCACACCTGATATCATTCAGTCTGAATCGTCTTTAATAAAAACAGTCAAACAAACTCGTTAAAGAACCGAGTCCAGACTCGTCTGGTTCTTTAACGAGTCCTGAGGGTCTGTCAGGGAAAACCGACGAGGAAGACGAGGAAACACTGCAGCAGATTCTGAGCTTTGATCAATTAAATCAATAAAACTTTTGATCCTAATTTGTTTCTTCATCATTCATTTAATTTGTTTGTTAAAATTTATCTGATCTGTTAACATCATCATGAGCTTTACTGTGATTGGAGGAGCAGCTGAGGGAGGAGCAGCTGAGGGAGGAGAACGGAGGAGCTGAGGGAGGAGCAGCTGAGGGAG